GCATAAAATCTGTACTATTGATTTTTACTATAATACCTCGCATATGTTTGATTAATTAGTATATGAAATACCCCAGTAGCTCCAGGTAAGATTAAATCCTCCCATACTTCTCTTTCTATATCATATATTTTGGAAATATTATGACCAAAATAAAAAATTAAATTATTATTTATTACACCACTACAGCACCTAAAATACTATTAGTAGTCGAAGTAAGGTCATTCCATGGCATTGTTGTATAATTAGTCGTGTTAAATGATTTAGAAACATCTAAATTAAAGAAATCATTCGTAACCTCAGAACGGTTAAATTTATTAATAAGTCCGCCCATAAAATATAATGTCCTATTAATAAGGATTGAGGAATGACCATTCCTATTATTGTCTGGAGCAAAGGCAGAAACAGAATTTAAGAGAAAAATCACAACATAAAAACCAAAATATAGCAGCATTATGTTAAATAAAATAAAGTTTGTAAAGCGAGCAATTTTGTTGCAACTAGTAAAAAGAGTTACTTATTTTACTATGAGGTTCGGAAGAGCAGATTATTTAATAATGAACTGGGAGAAGTAAGAAAAGATTAGAAGACTATGTGTATGGTGCCGTATCTATATAAATATATATATATATATATATATCGAGATAGAAATAGAGACATAAAGAAAAATAGATAATCAAAATACTAAACTAAACGATACTTAATTGTTTAAGAAACAAGTCAAATATAAAGCTTTTTTAAAGTCGATCATGATTTGAAGATTACTATATATAGAATAAAATATAATTTATTTGACTCTTTAATAACTGTGTTAGATTAAATATCGATATTGAAAATTTTAAATAGAAATTCCAAAATTCATTTTATACCGGAAGAATCTGATCTCACGTAATTTCAATGCAACATTTATTACAGCTATTATCATAATTCCTGGGACACCGGTAAAAATTGGCCGAACGATTTTTCGGCCGATTCGATTAAGTTTGTGATTTTGGAAATAAATTGATATATCAGATATATACGTAAATTTAAAATCAGGCAACTAATATAAGTATTACAGATAATATGACTACATATCGATATGCATATCTTTGGTTGAATACAGAATTATGATACTTCGATGGCAAATAGTTACAAATAATTTAGAAGGCTTATCATTCGAAAATTGCCAGACATTTAGGTGTTAGCAAGTCTTCAATAAATCGGTTTCTCAGGCACTTTCAAAGATGTTGAAAAACTTCTATCACTTTCAAGAAAACCACGTTTACTAAACACGAATGATATAACATCTTAAAACTTTAATTAATGAAAACCTGACTAGTATTTGTATGAATTACAATCCGAAATGGAACTTTGGTTGGGATATAAAATTAGTCGCATTACGATTTAAAAAGTTATATACCGACTTATATATGCACATAAAAAAGTATTTTATATATACTGTATCTATATCTATTTTTCTATTTTATAAATTTGAATAAATATAAGTGTAGCTGATGGCTACATGTAGCCTGTGTAATGTAAGAGTAATAGTAAGTTGTACAATCATTAGTGTAATGTATAGTATGCATATGCATATAAAAAACAATATTGATTAGATGTTAGTCTTTTACATAAGAGAACAAACTAAAGTTAATGTAAAGTGCAAGCAAATTGTTTGATAACCTTTGTGTTGAACTTAAGTAGTTTTATACTACACTGGTTATTCTATCCTTGACAACACTAGCATAGTAGACATTTGTAATTTTTTTTTTCATGGTGCAAAGTAAGAAATTAGGACACTTGCATTTTGTTTGGTGTATAAATATTAAACATATAACCAAGGTGGGTTACTAGTAAAATAAATAGTACAGCAGCTATATATTATTAGTTTACTTACCACAGTTCTGTTGGCTCTAGTTCTATTCATTCCAGCTGTTACATTCAAACCAGTCATCCTATTTGTTCTAGCCATCTAGTGATCCATCAATAAAATATATAACAAGGTGGGCAAGTTCTTTCAATTAAACATTATAGTGATTGTATATTATTGGGTTACTTACTTGTTCCATTATTGGTTCTAGAGTTTCATTGTTTCAGGTGTTTTGGTGTTTCAGATGCTTTAGCTATAAAATGAGGTGAATTATTAGTTGTCTCTTTCAATTAAATATTATAACAGCTATATATTATTGGGTCACTTACCACAATTCTGTTGTTTCCAGTTTCAGATGTTTCAGGTGTTTTGATGTTCCAGGTGTTTCAGATGTTTTAGCTATAAAATGAGATGGATTATTAGCTATCTCTTTCAATTGAACATTACAACAGCTATATATTATTGGATTACTTACCACAGTTCTATTGATTTTAGTTGTTTTATTCATTCTAGCTGTTCAGTCATTATATTCAAACTAACTATCACATTCAAACCAGCTATTGAATTCAAACCAGCTATTGCAGCCATCATATTTAAACCAGCTGTTGCATTCATTCCATCTACAAAATATATAAAGCAAGATAGTTATTAGTTAGCTTCAATTAAACATTACAGCAATTATATAATATTGATTTATTTATTTTAGTTCTATTAGCTCTAGTTGTTTCATCTAAGTATTAATAATACAAGATAAAGATATATATAATATAAGGTAAAGTGAAGTATTTTGACAAAGTTAAAGTTGTTAAAATGAAAATTTTTTTTATTTTATTATAAAGAAAAATTTTATTTGTTTGTTAAAATCAGTACATAATATTAAGTAAATATTATATAAAAATAGTAATGTAAAAAACTGCTTTGGACAGTAATAGCTAACTTTATACATTGTATTATAAAGTCAAAATTTAAGGGTGGTATTGTGACAAATTGAAGATATCTCATGATATAGTTGTCAGAATCAAATGATTTTTATATCATTCGATTCATCTTGATGAGATGAATCGAATAGTGATAGGCTGATATGCGACCTCTCATCCGATGAGAATCGGAAATGAGAACGTATACTTCCTCTTGATAATCCAAAATGGGCTAATATGCGTCCTCTCATCTGATGAGAATCGGAAATGAGGATGTATACGTCCTCTTAATAATAAATCCAAAAATGGTTGCAATGCGTCCTCTCATTCAGAAATGAGGAAAATCATTAGTTAATCAAATTCAAAATGGGCTGTAATATGTCCTTTCATCGGATGAGAATAGGAAAGGAGGATGTATACTTCTCTCAATAATCAATTTCAGAATGGGCGGTTATGCGTCATCCGATGAGAATCGGAAATGAGAACGTATACATCCTTTGATAATTAAATTCAAAATGGTTAATATGCGTCCTCTCATACGACATGAATCGGAAATGTGACAAATGAGGTCTGTGCCTTGAAAATAACCTTATGAGATAGTGTTACACAAGATTTTTATTAAGAAAAACATAGTAAATCTATTTTTAGAAAAAAAATTCAAGGCACAGACCCAAATACATCCTTTCAAAATAGAATAAAAATGCGTCAATATGCGTCGATATGCGTCGATATGCATCCTCTCATCTAATAAGAATCGGAAAAGAAGACCTCTCAATAATCAAATTCAAAATGAGTTGCTATGAGTCCTCTCATCTGATGAGAATCGGAAAGGAGATAATACATCTTCTAAATCATCAAATCAAAATAGAGGTGTATACGTCTCATCTATTGAGAATTTGAAAGGAGACCTCCGATGAAAATCGTAAGGAGGACGTCCTCTCAATTAACTATTAAAAGATGAGATATTTGTCCTTAATCAACAAATAAATGGGTTACATGCGGCCTAAGAGAAACTAAAATAGGACGTATACGTCCTCTTAATAATCAAATAAGCATAATATACGCAATTAAAGATTGGCAATATAATAACCTAATTAAGGAGAACGTTAAAGCAAGGTGCGTTATAATTACTTTTTTGATGCAGTTAGGGTTACATTTTTGATGCGGAATGGTTAGTTGTTAAAAAAAAATTTTTTTATTAACTGCGGCTAGGTTATATTATCCATTACAACGTACATACGTATGTATATTCATGCAGCATGTAGATCATTTCCAAATTTATACCAAACACACCTGACTTTAACGGACTCCCTAATTGACAAAGTTAGCTAATAGTAAGCACGTGACAAATCAGGATTTAACTCTTCGACCAATCAAAATTATGAAATTTGTTTATTGTTTATATATCGATTATCTGACAAAATTTGATTACAAAAAATTTTCAATACAGACACCGGTCCTTGTTTTTCTTATTACTTTGTTTACAAATACAGACACCGGTCCTTGTTTTTCTTATTACTTTGTTTACAAATACAAACACCAGTCCTTGTTTTTCTTATTACTTTGTTTATATAGAATGGCGAACGAAATTTCTCAAAATTTTTTACATGAAGTTATTAAGCTTCAAAATTTTTGTAAAGGAAGATTATTGAGTATTACTTTTGAACCTAGTCATCTTACTATAGTTAGAGATGTTTTTGACTATACAAGAGCTCTTAGAAATAGAAACAATTGTATTATCACTACAAAACTCCTGATTCCGGTAGGTTATAAATTTAATTTTACAAATTATTCTAAACAATAAATAATTTGCTATCAACCTTAATAGCAACAAAAAAACTTGAAAAAAGTAAGATTTGAAGGTAGATTAAGATTTTATTATACTATCTTCCTTCTTCGTTATTAATTTTTTTTAAGAATAAACAACAACTTATTATTGTATAGATCAAAAATATGAATATGCAACAGAATCCCTAGAGGATGAATATTTAAATCAAGAAAGTGAAAATTCAATGGAAAATCAAGAGCATGAATATTCAACGGTAGAACGAGAACTTTTATTTTTTTTTTTTATTATCTTGAGCAAATTCCACTGTCGATTATTTGAACTTCTTATTCTTTAATTAGTTAAATGAATTTTTGGAAACTTCCAATAATCCGGAAGATGTCTTTATCAAGATTAATTCACATCTTGAAGCTGTTTTTTGGATGAAATGCAAAATTACAAATTCCAAGTAATGAAGAAGAATTAAAAAAAAATCTATTATTAATTGTAGAGTTGCAAAGTTGTGAATTTTTGAAAGAATATAAAGAATTATTTAGTCTGTGGAAAACTAAGGCAGTGAAAACTTTTGGTAAACTGAAATTAATTTAAGAATTAAAAATTAATGTTTTTTAATCTTAATCTTACTAAAAAAAAAATTTTATAAAGGTAATGATGCAATGAATTCTACGAAAGCAAACGAAATTAAACAAAAATCTCAGATAAAGTTCGTTAATAATGCTAAAAAAAGAACTACATCACAAGATAATAATAAAATCAAAAGGTGTAAATTTTTAAAAATTTAATCTAATCTTTCAATATAGTATTAACAAAACTCAAAAACAACATTAAAATTAATTATTATTTATTGTATTAATAGCTAGGTTGCACAGTTGGCAAGATGTTGATGAAAATGAAGAATCATCCAATAGTATCATTGACAATGAAGAACCATCCAAAAATACTAAAAGTGACTTTGACAACGAAAGTGAAGAAAATAATGAACCTCAAAAAAGTAAGTTTTTTTTTTGTTTCTTAACTTTAAAATTTGAAATTCTATTTTTAATTCGAATTTTACTTTTGTTAATTAAGATAACGACGACAAAAGAATTATGACAAAAAGTAACCCTTTTAATAATTAATTTAAAAATTAATATTAATTAAAATACTAATAAAAACCTGAAAATTTTTTCTTTTAATACAAATAGAAAAAAGGATGAACAGGATTTTATCTGAACTATCAACATTACAAGTTACTCGACAACAACACACAACCGCTCTAACTATACCACCTATTCAAGAAACCACTATCGATTTCAGTGATAACATTGATTCAATTCAAACTGGCCTTCGAAAATGGAGAGAAATAAACTCAAAGATATTTAAGTTCAAACAGATAATAACAGAAGCTAAATGGAAGAATTTTCTTACTTTAGATTTGGCTTATGAAGCATTAAGAAAGGTCATCAATCAAGAACCTACAATCGATCAATATGACAATGATACTGAATTCGGCAAAGAATCTGAAAATGATGGTGTCAGAAAAAAAATTGAAGCAGGCATTCCTCTAGGAAAAAATGCTAATGAACAAAGTAAAAAAAACTGGATCTCATATCAAATGCGAACTATGCTTGTAATTAGTAAAAGACACGAAACTAAAACTAGGACCGCACTACGCTTTATTAAGTACTTACTATCAAACAAATGGATTACAGAGGAATCGCTTTATAAATTACGGTATTCTCCCAATTGTTTCAAAGAAATGACTTGTGACAACTTTGAATATTTCTTACAAAAAATTTCCAAAAATAACAACTTAAGATATGATTCAGAACAAGAAAATTAATTATTTTATATTTGTTATTGTTGCTTATTTAGATTCTTTTTTTTTTTATTACTTGATTTTTGTTTCTTTCTATTTTGTGATTTTTGTTATATCTTGTGGTAAAAAATGCTTAATAAAATTCTATATAGATTTTTGCATTAGTAACAATTGATGATTACAATTACTGTTTTTGAGATATATTCTATCTCCCAAAATTTCTTAAAGTAGCGTTTTGGTTAGAATAGATTGTTTTTTTCTTCAAACTAACGTTTGTTTTGAAAGTTTCTGATTATGTTACATTACATAAAATTGTGGCTCTATATATCTCCCGCGTGAGATGTCTAAAAGCACCCCTTTTTTATAGCTTAAATTTTAATGACAGTATTTACGTAAGCAATAGGAAAATTATTAGTATTGATTTTAAATTAAAAAGTTGTTAATCATCACTAACGCTAAGTTTATATTTTTCAACCAGTTCGAGGATCTTATCTAGTATAAGCTGATAATTATTTCTATATGATATCATTGTTATCATCACATCACAAGGAGGTAACAAGTACTCTGGAATTTTTACTAAGATATCTTTTGGAAAATTCATATCTGATACATCTTTTTAATTTGGTAATGCGTATAATATTCAAGGTTCAAATGTACATCCATGCGATCGGGACGAATACTAAAGTATAATATAGAGGAATAAGTTTTATAGATTGGATCAGTAGAAACGCATAATCTTTTTTCAATTACTATGTGGGATCGTCATTACAATTATTGTGCCTTCTGATAATATTTGCCCATCCAAACATCCAAGAAAATTAGATAAACTAATAAATGAAAATAAAT